CCAAACGCAAATCCCTCTGGGAAAGATAACCCAGACTTTAATCCACATTAGAGTAAGTGATCGTGGGGTCAAGTAAACTCATCTTTTAGATCTGCCACCTGGAGCAAGTTCGGGTAAAAGGCGGCAACAGATGTGTGCACCAGGGCATCTGTGAAGCTGAAACAAAATAAATTTGAGTGAAAACATAGGGGTTTCAGGGTGTGGCCCAGGAGGCACTCGATGGGGCCCAGTGCCAGTGAACAAAGACATCTTATCTCGTTTTATAGGCTTCGTGTTAACAAATGTCATCAGGACAACTGGTTCTACTATGCAGGGAGGCTGCTTCCATGTCTGGGAAGGGGGCCCAGGCCAACGGCAGCTTTGTTCATCTAGCTTCAACCCATTTTATTAAATGAGAAGTTCGGAATAACAGATGCCTTCACAAGTCTCCATCCCTGCCAGACTCCATCTCTTTAATGAAAACATCATTGTTGGGTTATTTATCATTTGTCATATAATTATATTACAATGTAATATAAGATTCAGACTCAGGTCACTATTTCTCTACTTTGCTTGTGGGAGGAAGGAAGTGGTGATGGGGGACTGGGAGAGGGTACTTCCTAGGAGACTAGAGCACTAGCTAGAGGTGGTGGACAGGTCAAAATGTGTGTGTTGCCTGGGAGGGCATGGTAGCGAACATCTGTAAGGGAGTACCCCCTCTGGACACCAGAGTAATGAGCCTCCTCTTCACCAAGTCATAATTCAGGCTCAACAACTCAGCCAAGCTCATTCGACCAGGGCTCATGACCACTCAGCAACAAGCTCTCTCTGCTCCTTTCCTAAGTGATACACCAGAGTAGAGGGCAGGCACCGTGGTAACGAGACATCTGATGAGCATCCTACACAATCTCCATAAAAGATCCCCAACAGCCCTGAGGTTTTTTATTTCAATGTGGTAAAATTAATATAAAATGAAGCTCTAGACGACCAGCCCCCAAAGCTCAATCAAGGTGCCTGTATTACCTTGAGAGGCTGGTGGTGCAGCAGCGGCCCAGAGAGGGAACTGGGTCTGCAGTTTGCTGTCCTTAAAGTACAGGCCACGGTTATGGGGACTGGGATTCACCCTCCTGGATTTATCGCCTCCTCTCGCGGCCTGGCCAATTTTCTATCCATTCCTTCTGCTTATTAGCTCAGGCACAAGAGGCTAGAGAGGTAGAAAGAAGGGCTCTGGAACTCAAAGCCACTTTGCTGCTAGTACGTTCCCCAGGCAACATGCACGGTGGAAGAGCAGCAGGCCCAAACTAGAGATTCTAGGATTATCTTTGCTTTCCAGTGATCTGTGCTCTGAAGTTCTGATGTCAGCCACCAGGTACACAGCTGCTGCACCTTCCAGACCTCAAAGCTCAAACCATTGCAGTTCAAAGCTCCTTTTCTCTAGCTCTGAGAAGACATCTAAAACTTAAGGGTAACCATTTAACTACAAGGTATGCAAAAACCTTTTGAAATATCCTGAATATGCAAGATGAAGAATTTCGGTTGGTTACACAGAATAACTTCTGGATAGAAGGGATGCTCAATTTTACACCAGCAACAAGTACGATTTCTCTTCTTATGGATGTTCATGGATTGAGGCTGATTTCCACCAGACATCAACTAGATAAAAGGCACAGGGCTTCCCTGGTGGTGCAGTGGTTGAGAGTCCGCCTGCTGATGCAGGGGACACGGGTTCGTGCCCCGGTCCGGGAAGATCCCACATGCCGTGGAGCGGCTGGGCCCGTGAGCCATGGCCGCTGAGCCTGCGCGTCCGGAGCCTGTGCTCCACAACGGGAGAGGCCACAACAGTGAGAGGCCCGTGTACCACAAAAAAACAAACAAACAAACAAAAAAGGCACATGTCAAAGGACTTGGAAAGACCCCTAAGGTACGACCCAGAAGAAAGGCTTCTTACACACTTAATAAAAAATTTAATAATTTAAAAACTGAGATCCCAAGGTCCTTCTCCACAATCTATTAAACTAGGGATTACCGAACTTTTTCTGTAAGGGGCAAGATAGTAAACTTTACCTAAAGGCAAAACTGACAATACTACATAGGCACTTTTATAATGAAAGAAAACAAGTTTCCACAATTCTTTTATTGATAAAATTCAAAACATATAATGAGCACAATTTTTTTCCTAATAAAGGTCCAAGGAGACAAGTATAATTCCTTGCAGGGGGGAAAGGGAGACAACATTTCCCTTAACTGGGATTCAGTGCTCCACATCATCAAACTGATTGCAGTGTTTACATGTACAAATCATTCTTAGCTCGTGATACAAAAACAGGCAGTTCACCCAAAATTTGGCAATGCCTGTGCTAAACCAATGTCCAGGGGTGGAGCCAGGAATCTGCATTCTACATGCGCCGGGATGATTCTGGTGATGGGCCACGTTTGGGACCCAACAGACTATACAATTTTCAAAGTCCTTACTGTCTAACTAAGGGCCTCTGGTTTTACAGTGGGAGGAAAACCCAACTCTGCTGCTTACCAGCTGTTTGACCTACTCTCCCAGCCTGGATGATTCACCCTCACAACAGAGGATGTCACCCTGCTTGGCCTATCCTTAAGGAGTTGTTGGGGGACTAAGTGAGATGATCCATGAAGTGTTATTAGTAAACTAGGTCCTGGAAACCAAGGACATGCCAATTCTGTTCAGCTTTTTGTCTGATAATAAAAGTGGGAAATGCATTACACGCACGATCCCACACACACCACTGCCTGAGTGGCTCCTGCTTATCTTCTCATTCCTCAAAATGTGTCCCCCAACACCTAAAAGGCCAGATTCTAACCAGATGTGATGTGCTAACCCAAACTAGGGAAGTGTATGTATGGCCTCCCCCTTAAAACCGACAAGCCAGAGAGCCTCTGATCCTGACCACCCACCTCAGTATCTTCAACCAGGAGGCTGTCCAGTCTTCTAACTCTCTCATAAGGTGGCAATATTTCAAAGCCAAGGAAGAAAAAGCTCTTCCCCACAGTCTCTTACAAGTGAGGGTACTTCAGGGGAGGGGGTATAGAGGTTGAGTATGCAGATTGGCTGTGATAACATCTTTATGCCTCGATTTCCTGTGTTAATATAAGGATTATAATAGTACCTGCCTCCTAGTGCTGCTGTAGGGACTAAATTAACTGATATGTGTAATCCACTTAAAACTGTACCAGGCGTAGCATGGGTGCTATACAAGCGTCAGCTATTATTATTGTTGTTCTCTAAACCCTAGAAACGCCCAAAGTTGTGCTGCATCACACCCCCCTATCTCTCTGAGAATAACACTACCACATACTGAGCACCTGAGGGCCCGATCCAGCCAGTTTTGTCACTGACTCATTAAATAGGATTATTCCCATTTTACAGGTGAGGAAACCAAGGATCAAAGAGGTAGGTTAAGTTAACCGGCCTGAGATCACAGGGGCAGGGCAGGTTAATTTATCTTACCTCTGTGACACGAGGAATTTACACTTAGGCCTGTGTGGTTCTACTACCCAGCTCCCCCGTGAAGCCCTCAGGCTCAAAACTACCATGAGCAGCAGCAATCCAGTACCAAAACATAACTGACCATGTCCATGTGGAACTCATGCTCAATTTTCTGCCTCTGGATCCCTGGTAGGCTTGCATAAACTGGAGTTAATATCAGCCTACTTGAACCCAATTAGGCAGTAAGTCAGTCTGGAAAACATGATGTGATGTATTCCAAAGGTCAAAGTTAAACCTGGTTTCCTGGGCAGTCTTGTCAGGGCACTGCCATGAAAGCTAGTCTCCATGCAGACGTCTACCAGAGCTTAACCTGTGAGGTGCTTAACCAGCATGGATATCAGCTTTTAAAAAGTCTCAGACAGATGCCGGCGACGCGATGCCTTGCCTGGCTCACAGTCAACAGCCAGAGCAAGGCAGTTAGAAAAAAAAAGACATTATTTACTTTTTAAAAAGCAACGCCTTATTCCCTAATCTTTTCGGTTTAGGGTTACATTTACTACTGTGGCTGCCTTCCCCTGGGCAAAAATAAAAGGGGGAGGGGCAGAGAGAGAGCAAGGGGGCCTCCCCTAGCAGCCAGCAGGGCGCTGCAACACCCACCTGAAACACCGAGCGCGACCTACCTTCCCGGAGAGCCCAGCCCCGGAGGGCGTTTCCCCAACGCATCAACTCGTCCCTGCCGGCTAAGCGGCTGCTGTCCTCGGCTTCAGTCAGGGCCGCTAGAGTCGCGTGCGCCCCCCCCCCCCCGCCAAAAGAAACCTCATGTTTAATTTCTCCCCCCACCCTCCTATCAGTTCCGCAGAAAGAGCAAACACCAGGGCGATCCGTTCGTCTTTAGGGCCACACTGAACTACGTCTAAAACGCCTGCAGGAGGAAGGACGAAATACTGGCGAGAAGAGGGGCGGGGGAGGCAGGGAGCGCGCTGGGGGGTGGGGGGAGCACTCGCCGGGAGGATCGTCGCCCTCCCGGAGCAACGGCCGCCGCAACGCTCCAGCAGAGCCTCAGGCCGTTGACAAGGGGCGGGGACCCCCATTGGGGCCCAGAGCACAACTGGGGGTCCCCGGAGCCCGCTCCCCCTGCTGCCTCCACGTCCGGGGCCGTCGGGGCGATGGCGCAAGTCTGCGCCCCCCCCCCCACCCAGGGACAACAGCCACGGTGACAAAATGGCAGCCCGGCGCCCGGCAGTCGTGCCACAGGCGAGCAGGGCCCCGGCGGCCGCCCCTGCCCCCCAGTAACGCCTCGGCGCCCTTCGGGCTCGGCCTCCGGCAGGCCTGGCCGTTACAAAAACAATAATAATAAATAAAACACCTCGAGCTCCAAACCAGCTCGGGAAGCCAAAAGGCCCGCCCTGGGGCCAGTCCGGCGCGCCCGCGCCCCGACCCGCGCGCGCGAGGCCCGGCCGCCGGGTCGCCCGACCGCCGGCCCGCGCCCTGCGCCGCATGGAGCCTGCCGCCCGCATTAGGAGCCCCGCGCTCGGCGCCGGCCGCGCCATGGGGGAGGGGAGGGGCGGGCCGCGCGAGACCCGGGAAACATGGCTGCTTGTCCTATTTCGGCGTCGCGGCGTGGCCACCAGCCCCCGGATCAGAGTTGGGAGAGGCTCCGAAGGTGGGTGTGTGGGGGCCCTGGGGGGAGCACGGCAGGGAGGGGTGCAGGGGGCGCTCTCTGGGAGCTATTTGTCTTAAGAACGTTTAAAAAACCGAGTTTCTCCTCCCTCACCCCTTTTGTCCCTCATTAGCTAGCTTTCTCCCCCTCCTCCGCAAACGGACAGAAAGTGCCCCCTCCACCCCCACCCGCGCCCCACCCCGCCTCAAGGTAGGGGGCAGGCGTGTGGGCCGGGAGACTCGAAGGCGAGGGGGCGTAAGCGTGAGAAATCGCTCCCAGTTCGGCGCGGCGCGCTCCCCTCCCCCAGCACACACTCGGGAAGTTTAAAGAGCCGGTTCGACCCGCTTTCGATCTCGCTCCCAGTTGGCCAGCAGCGGCGATAGGGTTGGCCGGGCGAACCGCGCCTCCGCACCCTCCCTCCGCGACCCCGGCCCCCTACTTGGCGCCCTTCCCCCTCCGCACGGGGGGCTTCCGGAAAGTACGCGGGAAGCCCGCGGCTCCGGCCCCCTCCCCCATCACCACACCCAGCCCCCCAATCCTCTGGCTCGGGGTCCAAGCTGGGATGAAACCGGCCAGAGAAAGGCAAACCGCCGGCAAATTGTTCGCGGAAACTCCAGCGTCCTCCGGCGGGCAACCCCTCCCCTCCCTCCGCCACCCCCTCCCCGCCCTGCGCGCCATAAGGCATTGCACGTCTACAGTCCACAGCTGCGTTATGATGGGGGGGCACAAAAAGGATCTTGTTTTCAAAAGTCTCACTCAGGTTTGGGGGAGGAAGTAGAGAAAAGAGGAAGCAAGGCCTGCCTGCGCCAGGAATTAGGGTTTTAACGGGCTGGAGGGGCGACAGGTCAGCGCACAGTGCTACCCCAAACTCCCAACTCTGTGGAACCCTGGCCACGGGGCTGGGGTGAGGGGTCCTCCCGCCCGCGCTCCGCTGGTCCCCGGAGGGGCCACGAGAGAAGTCAGCCAGCGTCTCCGCCCCAGACCCGGGGTCTCCTCCGCTGAGCCTCCAACTCACATAAAACAGTGTTTGAAAGCGAGAGGGAGACAAAAACGGGCGTTCGAGTAACCCACCCTCACCTTTCCCCTCCTCGGGGGTAGGCTTTTGCCCGAGCCTCCCAGTTCCCATCGGTTTAAGTTTCCTCCGGCCGTACTCCCGCTACTGCCCAATCAATAACGGCGACGGGAAGGCAAACTCCCATCCCGGAGCTGCGTGTCTGCTAAGCCCGCATAAATCTGGACCCAGCCAATACCCACCACAGGCACCAGCTCTGGGCAGCTCGCGTCCTGACAAAGTTTCCCGGGCCCATTTATTAACTGGGCGCCGAATGGCTGCCAAGGAGCCCACCCCAGAGAAAGACGGGCCGGGGGTCGGGGCCGGGGGGGGGGGGGGCGGCCAGGGCTCAAAGCCTAGCATCTTAGGGAGGCCAGAAGGAGCAAGGGCGAGGGGGGACCGGGACATAGCCTTTGGGTAACTTGCAGTAGCGATCGCGCGAGGTGGGGAGGCGCGGGGATTATCTGTGCCTTTGCACGTTCGAAAATCCCTCCCCCCGTCTTCCAATTTATCCTCCCTTCGGAAGGAAAGGAAGAAACATCAGCATCTGGCCCGAAGGTGGGGTGGAAAGAGTGAGGGAGAAAGAGGAGGAGAGGAAGGGAGGCAGAGAAAGGGAGGGAGGGAGAGAAAGGGCGCGTTCACGAACACTACAAAGTTACAAATATGGCTCCCCCGTCTCTCGCCTCATCACTGCAAAGAAATGAAGACGCACTTTAAACTCGAGCCATTCCCAACTCCACTGCAGCCCCCTCCCCACGCGCTCTCCCCAGGGGCCTCGGCCCACATTTATCAGAAACTAAACCGGACTCGCGAAGCCCAAAACTTATTGTGTGTGTGCGAGCGAGCGAGCGAGCGAGAGAGAAAGGGAGGGGGAAGGCGCGGGAGGGGGGCGGAAGGGGGGATTCATTTATAAAATATAAAACCCCCTTTTTTTGTTGTTAAATCCAGGAGGCAGCCCCTCTCCTCCTCCTCTCTTGTTAATCTTTCCCTCAGACGGAGTCACGGGAGCAGCGAGCTCAGAGGGTTATTTTGCCTCATTCTCTCCGACCCAAACGCGTGCGCCCGCCGGCCCCCGATGGGTGCACACTCTCGCACCCACACTCGCACACGCGGGAGCACACGCACAGGTAGTCACACACCAAGGGCAGCGGCGGCGGCAGCCAGAACATGCTCGGATGGCACTGCAACCCCCCAACCTTGCAATTCATTTGCAGTCCGACCCCCAAACCCACATCTCCCGGGCGCCCCCCTCAAAAAAAAGTGCCTCCCCCCAACGCACACACACACACACACACACACACAAAGTAGGAGAATGGACCGACAGAGATATTTTTGGCAAATGCTCACATCAGAGGGCGTCCTGTTCCGCAGCTCTAAATGAATCCGTTTGTCCATGTCCATCTCTCGCGCTCTCTCTCTGCAGAGGCTCCCGCGCCGGCGGAATTCAATCAATAAACCCCGAACCCACGGCCGCGCGTTTTAGGACTTTGAAGGCTCAACCAGCTCCGCTCGGTTCTCGAGCCCCCAGCACCCGCGGCGCACACTAACCTGATCACCGTGGAGGCGGGATTGGCAGCCCGGAAGAGTGGCAGCAGCCTTAGCCAATCGCCGCCGAGGGTCTCCGGGCAACAGCGAATGGTGGCGGAGGCGGGGGGGAAGGGACCAATGGGTGGGCTGCGCAGCCGGCCAGGGAGGCTCAGCCATTTGGTTGTGGTGCCGGAGACGGACCCCTTTAGATTTCGGGGCGGCTGAGGAGCGCGGCGGCAGCTCGGCGGCTGAGCAAGGGGGGTGGGCGGAATGTAGGGGGAAGGGAAGGTGACTGTGCCTGGAGGGCCGAGCCGCCCGGCCTCGCCAGCCCGCCGCCGCCTCAGCGTTTGGCCGGGGGCGGGGCCGCAGGTGCGTTATACGAAAGGGAGGGGCGCGGCCGGAGGGGCAGGGGGTCGGGGTCCGCGCCGGGCCAAGGGCTCTGTGGGGTTGCCCCGGGCCTGACCGCGCCGCACGACCGGGTTGTGGAAAGAGGCAGACGGCGAGAGGTCTGGGGGCCGCGGACTGCCTGGCGGGCGGGCAGATGAAAGGCCTGGAAAGAGGGGAGGGGTCAAGGGTGTGGTGGGGGGAGGGGCTGGTCATTTTCTGGGTCCAGCGGGCAGAGCTAGTGGAGCGTGGCTGCTGCCCCCCATCTCCTCTGCGGGTTCCCACCCCCGGGCTGCGGCTCACAGCCCGCGCGCCCCTTCGCCTCCCGCCTCGTCGTAGTCCAGCCGTGGGCATCGCAGCCCCTTGAATACATAAGTAAATAAAAAGCAAGATGCGTCCACTTCTGGATGACTTGCCTTGCGGTCTCGACCCTCTCCATGGAGAGGCATTTCAGTTTGCATGTCAGCTTGGAAGGAGTGATCACCAAGAGGCACCCGGGGTTTTGTTTAATCAATAAATGAGTGAAGACCATGGACTAAGAATTGATGCTGAATACTCTGAATATTTTAAAAAATGGAAAGGGAAGGTGCTAGTAACTCCTGGTTTTCTGGACCGAACATAATTTATGGGCTTTATAGACCTAGTGAAAGAAAACGGCGCACAGTTTATTTTAATTGTCCACCTGAGTCATTTGGTTCAATCTGGGCTGGCAAAGAGGCTCTATTTGGAGCACTTTCTCCAAGTTTTACGGTTTGCTTGCTTTCGGTTTTTTGAATCACATTAGTTGTAAGAGACCTTAAAGCCTTAATTCCCACTTGGTTAACAACTTATGGCCAGTTCTAGGACAGTGTTGTGTACTGCGTTGGCTGCCTATGTCTGTTAACAAATCACGGGGATTGTTGTCAACAGGACAGATACATCTCCACACAACTGTTTTTCGATTCTTTTATTTCTACACGTCTACACTTTTCCTCATGCACTCCAAGGTAGTTCTTTTACATACATTGTGTTTATTTTTCAGGGACATGGGTTCAAGGGAGATAAACCAATATGTATGTTGCAAGTTTGAAATATTGTTACATAACACCAATACAGTTTCATTCTTGAGCATACAAAATTTAGGAGGAAATAAAAAGTGACAGTGTAAATAAAAGGCACATATAGAATGCTTACACTGGGGAAGAAACTGTAGTAACTTTAATATTGTAACCCGATGGATTGCAAATGTGAAATCCTGCAACTAAGCATTTTACTCAGTAAATTCTTCTTTCAGACAAAATATTAAGTGGAATTGGAAAAGTGATCATGTATACTCTGAGTAGCTGTGAAATGCAAAATAAAAATGGAAAGCCATTGTTTTATTTCATCTGCATATAAATAGTATGGGGTAATTTATTTGACTTGTTGCCTTAGCTGACATCAGTCTTCCTCAGTTTTGTTAATCTTATTGAGGTCAATTTGTGGAGCTGGAATTTATTCTTTTTAAAATTGGCTTCGTTATAAAACATACAGGGACCCCAAAGTTCCTCTCTTTACCAGAGTCAGCTGTTATTTCTGGATATGGTGTTTAAGGTTGTTTCAAAACAGAGCTCTTCATCAATCCCATTTAGCCAATATGATGTCTAGAATCTATATAGCACAGGAGTCCTGAAGTTTATGTTCTCTCTGGTGGTAAATGCTCATCTTCAATTAAAAATTTTAACCACAACTAAGTCCACGCCGCTAGCAATGTGATATGGCACGGTACCTTTCCAGAGAAGTAATCCTTTAAAAGCCAACCAATCAAATGCAGAGATAGCCCCCATCCAGCTCTGCTAAAGGGAAGCAAATAGCTCATTTTATCGTACAAAGACTGGAGAGGATGACTTGGAAGCCCAAACCCCCCGTTAAAAAATGTACAGGAACAAATTAGAATGGAAAAAGTCATGACTTGATTACTACTCAAAATGTTAAACTTAACGGTTGTTTTTAGATAACAGCTTTTGTACTGGTTTTAGAAAATCGAAAGAAGGCTTCACTGGATGTCAATCATTACAGAAGCTGAAATATTCAAAAAGTGTATTTAGCCAATTGAATACTTAACTTCCCATCTTTCCAACATACTTTGAAAGGAGAGATTTTTCTCTCACTTTCACAAATAGATTTCTTTGTAGTTTATTTCTCAGAAAATTTTAGTGATTTTGATTTTTGTTATTATCAAAAGGAAATAGGAATATAGCTCAGCCAAAGCTGAGCCATTTGCCCCAGGCTACTTAACCAAACATCCAAACAAACAACAACAACAAACACTGCCCTTACAGTCCCTATTCTACAGAGTTGTTTCTTAAATTGCACTTCATTGCATATTACAGGAAATAAATGCCCTTGAATGGCTCTGAATATCAGACATATAGTAAGAAAAGAAGCCCCATATCAAGGAATATGGGCTGAATTTTGAGGTGGAGTGGGAAGAGGATGAGTTCCTAACTCCTGAGAGATTCTACAATGGGAGTTAGGTTATGAAAGATGTCGAGTCTGTAACTTGCAGAACTGGATTTGATTCACACTGAGAAGAATAAATGAGATGCAGTTCAAAGGTTTGAGCCCCTAGGGAGAAATGGCCTTCAAGTAAGGAGAGAGATCTGCCTGCCTTACATAATATTTTCCTGCAAGAACCATTCCAAACAAATGAGCAGCCCATCTTATTCTTTAAGAGGTATAAGCAATGGGTGTCCTTAGCCTCTTGATACATTTTGGAAAACACTTTTATAAATAACTCACATTGATGTTGCTGCCATTTTAACTCATTTGCCCTTGTTTGGCCTCTAAAGGTGGAGACCCTCTGGTTAGCATCCTTTTATGAGTCAAGTTAATGTATTCACAAGTTCAACTTTTTGTTCTTCAGCTTGAATCACATACACTGGAACCTGGCCATAGTACTTTTTCACCTACATCATGGTTCTGCTGCCTGGACCCCAAAAGACAAAGATATGGAAAGACTCCAGCTTAATTATGTTCTCTTTTGTGTTTCTATATAAATAGCTTTTAGAAATGTAGATTATTCTTTTTTTCCTCTTGTTTTTTAAAACTGTAGACTGTTCTTTTGAAATTCATGGTAACAAATGTGAAGACTACTGCATTTTGATTTGAATAGCAAAGGCATGTTGAGGTCCAGGATTTAAAAAGTTAACCATTCTTAATTCTTTTGCTTAATAAAGCATTGGATGATTTTATCTTTCAAATTATTGAATAGTTACCTTATCAATGCATTGGTCATGGAGAAAAAGCACTGTCATTATGAAATATATAATGAAAATAGTCATTATATGTGATTTTAAAAATTAATAGTAAAAATCATAAAAGGAGCTTAAAGATAGCTTATAGATAGAAAAATACCTATCATCTACACACTTGTTAGAAACTCACTAGAAATATTGTGAGTCTGTTTCTTAAATATATTTATTAAGGGTAATTTGGGGGTAGCAATAAGAGGAAAGTTTGTATACCACTCACCAGGAAGAAAGCCATAGCTATAATCTCTTATTTTTAGTAGTAATTATGGCTATAAAGGAAAAAAAATAGATGCCTTAAAGACAAATAATGGGATAAGGAGCCATAGAATAAGACTGAGGACAACCTAGGTTGAAAAAATAGAAATACAATTCATTTAGAATCTACGAATTCATTTTAATCTATCTGGGGTTGAAGTTTACCTCTATGAAGAAAAGAGTACTAAAGTCTATTAAGATGGAAGAGGTAGAGAACAGATTTTCTAAGAGCTTTTAATATTTTTACTATCCGCAACTAGTGTTTATAAGTTTAAGCATGCCTGGTAAAACTGTCCTCTCAGATTACCTACTTTGTAATGGCAGTTATTATTTGTACATATAATTACTTATATGTAATTCTTCTTAGAGATGAATTTAATGCATTCTGAGAAATTAGTAATTTAAAAATTATTTCTAGTGGAAATATTAGGTCCTCAGGAGAGTATACCTATAACCTGAACTTCCTCTGAAAATTCTGAATTCTAGCAACTTGAATATAAAAATTACACCCAATGCACTTGACCAAATGAGTCATATGACGACTCTTAGCCAGCAAAGGAACACTGTCCTCTGAAATAATTTTGTATGCCTTATTGTATAAGAGAATTATATCACTTATACGTATGTTTATTCAAAGGCAACTTGAGTAAGGGTGACAAATACTTTTCACTAGGCTGGACCAACTCATTACGTCTATATTCACGTTCATGAGCAGAAGCAAAGCTATAGATGAGGCAGAATAGCAGGTAAATAGCAAGCACGTTGATCACAATGTGGTAGCACTTTTTATAACAGCTAAAGAAAGAAACAATATATTCATATACCCAGGAAAAAAGTCTAGGAGAGTATGCACCAGAAAATGTTAAAAATTTTTTTTACAAAGGTTCTCTGTGGGTGATGAGGTTACACTGTTTTTTGTTTTTGTCTATATTTTCTAAGTTTTTCAGTTGATAAATAATTTTTGCAATAAGAAAAAGTTATTTTAATGGAAAATACAGGTATAACAGATTTGGGGGATGCTTGTGCTAGTAGAATTTCTTAGTTGCAGACAATGGAAACTTTCCCTGACCGATACAAACAGTAGGCAATTTCTTATAATCCTGTCACAAACCAAAGAACAAGGTACAGGAAAAGAGCAGGAAGTGGGAAGCTGGGCAGCCTGGAGCAGCCAAGATGGTACTCCAGGCATAGTCTACAGAAGACCCCCATACCTTGGAAGTCACCTCTAGGCTGTGGACTCTGCACCCCTCCATTGCCGCGAATGATCTTTCAGGAGCCTTCATTTTTGTGTCACTCCCTCAAGCTTCAGAGCCCTTGGCAGGAATATTTGCAGATGCCCCAGCTGTCAGGGGAAAAGATTATCTGACCCCTTTAGCTCCTACAGTGGGGTGTGTGACCCTGCCTCCCATCTATTTTAGGATTCTGCCCAAAGAGTATTCTGATGCTAGGTGACCAAAAGCAAAATCCACTGAAGTGTTCTGATTAAACCATACTCTGAAGGTTTCCTAATGATCCAAATTAGCCTTGTCTGAGCTCCTCCCCTGCTCACTGCTGTTTACGAGGAAGAGACTTGCTATAGTCTGAATGTTTGTGTACCTCCCCCTACAGTTCAGATGTTGAAATCCTAATCCCCAAAGTGTTGGGTTTAGGAGGCGGGGCCTTCTCCTTCAGGAGGTGACTAAATCTTTATCCCTCATGATTGAGATTTGTGCCCTTATTAAAGAGGCCCCACAGAGCTCCCTAGCCTTTCTGCCATGTGAGGACACAGTGAGAAATCTACAACCTGGAAGACAGCCTTCACCCAACCATGCTGGCACCTGACCTCGGACTCCCAGCCTCCAGAACTGTGAGAAATAAATGTTTCTTTTAATTTGTAAACCACCCAACCTGTGGTATTTTGTTGTAGGAACCCAAACATACTAAAACAAGACTGCATCACCTATCTAGGATCAACCTAAAACAGAGCTAATATCTGAACTCTTTGATTTCCTTTCAAATGCTTCCCTCTCCAGACCCTAGGCCAGAAGAAACAATGTACTATTGTTGATGTCAATGAAATACTTAACAAATCCGAGCTGGTAATAACTCTAAGACTTTGAGAAGAAGGATGCCCAGTAGAGATAATTGATTTTACATTACAAGGAATTTAGTCCTAAGGGTTATGCTAAAGATGAGAATAACCTACAAGTCATTTGTCATGAATAAATGCAAAGATCTCTGGATATCTTGTGGTATAAGATCTTGAGTAGTGATATATTACTGCTGATGGGTTTCTATCTGCTGCTGTGAGCGTATTTTCAGGCTCAGGTGCAGAACTAAGCTGAGGGGTATGAGATTTGTAGTAAAAAATTATTGGAAGTAGGCAAGTGGTCATAGACTAAGGGTTCACAATAGGATGCAGTCACTTTAAGGACAATTTTGAAGAAAAAATGCTGATGGTGAAAGAAATGCAAAAACCACAAACACATCAAAGAGGTTCATATTCCTGGGAACAAAAAGGAAGGTCGGAAAGGATCTGCTTATAGAAAACATATTAATCTTGGGACGCTGTCCTTTTGCGTCTTGCCCCCCATCATTTCAGGTCACTTAGCTTAGACTGCTTTTCAGCTGAAAAAAGCAAATGATACCCTTGCAAGGACTCTGCACAACATTATAGGAATTCAGCTGTTTTATTTTTACAACTATTAAAGCATGGTTTAACGGTTACATGAATAGAAGTTCCTTATAAATGGCAGTAACTTCTCTCCAGAGATGCAGTGCTCAAGATTCTGTTCATTGACATACAAAATGCTCTTCATGATCAAGTGTTTTACTTATTAGAATTTAACTCTTTCTCAGA